AAAACTTTTAAACTATAGGATAAATAAACTGAATTTGAATTTAATGAGATCTATCATTCTACAATACATGCAATGATCTCGACATCGCTCCCATATCAAGAAATATAACAAAATTGCCGGGATAAACTGATAATCATTGTGAATTATATAATTTAAATTATGCCTTGTTTTAAGCAAAACACGTTTTTTCATTTAAAATTCCTGAAAAGTTAAATTTTCTGTAGAACCTAGAAATGTAACTAAATATCCTATGTTTTTCATTTATTGGCAAATTATGACTTTGCATTAATTATGACAGATAATCAACAGTTAAATACTTTGAATCTGTAACTGAACCATTCAGGTGCAAAATGAAGATGTCATTACTAAAGCAGATAAAAATTAAACAAAAACAAGATTATACACTTCATATTAGCTGTAATAAAATAATTCATTCAGCAGAAAAATTAGACATTTGAATATTATGCCAAACTGGCAAAATACAGTTTTCAAAAGTAAAAACTAAATTCTCCCAAGACAAAAGTTTGCACAACACACGTATGTGAAATGAAATAATAAAATATTCATTGTGTACACTTTTTTTTTTTTTTTTTTTTTTTTCTATAAGGCAAAACAATTAAATCTTTCAAATATTAAAATACTATAAATAGTTCATTCCTGAATACTATATCTTTTAAAACAAACAGTCCCTCCCCCTTCCCCCAAAAAAAACCTGTAAACTGTGTTGACTGCATGACAAAATAATTTACAAACTCCCCCCTCAATCTTACAATAGCTTTAAACACAGAATTAGAGCCTATGAAGTTGCTTTGCATTCCAAGGTTAAAGAAAACTAATAAATTAAAAAGAACAATGTTGTATTTTTTATTTAGTATCTTTACAACAATATAACATATAATAAAATTAGGCAAATAAACAACCTTACATCAATGCAGATTTTATACTGGCATGTTTTGCTTCTATACAACATTTTGTACATGAAATACTTTAAAAGAATATACACAATTTCAAAACATAATTTACACATTGTGTTACAGAAAGTCACAGATGAAGGCAGTATTTGGATTAGTATTTATTCTTTGCAGAAAGTGCATATACAGTACTAATGATATGGGAACTATATAGCTGCTTGTTAGCAACAGATATTAAACATCAAGGGTAAAATTACTTAAAATCACAAAATTATGTTAATAGTAATTACTGTTTGATTAAAAAAAGAAAAGGAAGTACTGTAATTGTAAAAAAATTTGGTTATCAGATTTCAAATGAAATATTCATTTTGACTATTCCTATATCCATTTCGACTATTTTTTTGCGTGAAATCTGTACATACAGACAGAATGAAGGCATCTATTCCAAAATGGATTTTCTTCAAGTCTGCATGTATCATGCCTAACTCAAAACTGATTAGCCGTAGAAAGATTAAATTTTGTATATGGGATTGCTATAACATTTAGGTGTGCCTTTCCCTTTTTGATTGCAATGGGAGGAATCAAAAGTACATACATATATGTAATAAAAATTAATTTAGAAGTACTGATGTAGGAACACTGAAATGTAGAAACACTGAAGGTGCAGAACGTAGACCCATGTTGAAGAGGAAGAATTCTGATTGCGTAGAATGCTAAAATGTTGAATTCGTAATGACTAGGAATCTTTGTTGTCGAGGCAGATTAAATTTCATTTTATTTCAATTGACATTGGTGGCCACAATTTACTTGGCACTCTAATTATGCCTATTTCCAGAATATTTACATTTCTGACACTGTAGCGATAGGAACAGAACACAGCGAAATAACGTCTTTATAGGAAAACTAGCAGAAGCTAAAGTGTGTAACTATCCAATATAGAAACCCACCAAGAGAAGGTTTTGGTTTAGGTTAAACAGGTTTTGGTTCTCAAAATTTTGAGTTCCAAATTAGCTATGTCATCAAGTTTTGCAAGCCAATGATCTAGAAATGATGCAATTCAGAAAAGTTATTATTTTTAGAATATACAGAGGAAAATACTTGAATTAAAAATGAGCAATTACGAGGGCTATTACTAAATTAAATGATAAAGCTGATTTATTTACTTTTATTTTAGTTACACACACATATCCTATACCTAATTTCTTACCTTGCCTTTTTTCCCTCCATTAGTTGGTCGTAACCACATACTTCCAATTACAGAAGTGTTTTAAATGACAAAAATATTCATGTTTTAGCAATGTCAAATTTTTTTAAAATAATTGGAAAATGAATGACTTTTAATGCAGTCCCTATTAGACTCTGTTTGCAAGTTTTCACTTGTTCTGATAAAAAAATCAAGAAGTTTGCTCCATGCTAAAAAAATTGATGAGATATTTAACCCTGCAGGCCTATATCAGGGATAAAAGAAGGGCTAGGTCATTTGTCACTCTCGCGAGAGCCTCTAGAGGGGTGACTGCAATAATTAACTTGTCTTGGTGCACCTGCATGATTTGCACATTTAAAACGTATTTCTTCAGTGCGAGACATTTTCTGGAGGTCACATATCCCAATTAATTTAATCATACATATTGTTTCAATAATGAAATTTTAACATTTGTGAAATATATAGTTTTAGTCGTTTCTTTTAATTCTATATTAAAGCTCCTTATGTAATAGTCTTTTTTGCTGTAGCAACGGCCGAACTTATAGAAATACGAAAGAAAGATTATTGTATTCATGCTCCAAAGGACATTTGCGTTGACGAAAGAATGGCGCTAAATGTTGAAGACAGGATCTATTAATGTGAAAAATGCAAGAATTTGCGGCGAACATTTTCTGTGCAGTGATTATGAAGATGACATAAGAAGCTTGCTTGGATTGCCACAAAAGAAACTGTTGAAATTCAATGCTATGGCGAAAGTAAATTTATCGTGTGCAGTAAACAAAATAACACCAAGAATTCGGAGACATTTGAAAAGAAAATTAATGCAGAGTGCTTATTGAAGGACTACATGAATTAAGCCCAAAGAAAATTTATTTAGAGGCCCGAGAACGGAATTGAAGCTGACAGTAATAAATAAAATATGAATGATTTTGAAATAAAATTCACAAGTTACAATGCCCTAAGTGACAATATCCCTGAATGCCCTAAGTGTAAAGATAAACAGATGTATTGATAATTTGAGAAAACTAATATCGTAGAAATGAATAAATATTGAAATAGAGAAAGAAAATTTTATAGAAGGTTGTCAGCGAAAAGATGGGGACGAATCTGGAAAAATTGTAACGGAATTCAGAAATAAAATCCCGAACAGCAAAATTTAGAAAAAAAAACACAGATCGGAGAATTGGAAAACGTCTAAACTGTTTTACAAGAGCGATTACGCATGCTAGAAAACGGAAAAATCAGGGACTAGTGAAGATATTTCAGTTGCATATCATAAGGTCTGTAGAATACGTTTTAAAGAAATGCATATGTTTTTCCAAAGAAAGCAACCAAAAGGCAAAAATGGATGCTTCAATGTGGTACCAATAATAGTCTCGATGCCCACCAGGGCGATCGTAAAGTCACTGAAAACTGTAGTGCAGTCTGAGATTCGATCCATGAACGGCTGGCTGCATGGGTGTTTGTGGTTTCATGGTTACATGTTTTTCCATGTGTACGGTATAGAGCAGTTTCCCTAGAAAGTCCTCCACGAAGGAACCTCCCCCTAGTGATTATTTAATAATATTTAACAACTTGTAGGTGCATGTGTACAAGTAAGCATATAATATATGTTTGATTAAATAGTCAGATGATAGTTTAAAGTTAATAGTGTAAAGCATATTTCAAATGGAGAACTCATTTGTTAAGTTATTGTTAAAGTTATTTTATTGTATCCTGTGTTATTATTGATTCGATATTGTGCTAGCTTAGCATTCTAGGTAAAATATAATAGTATAACATTAAAGTAATTGGCATGAGAAGACCTGCCTCCTTAACACCCACTTCTCAAAAATTAAATAATTTTTTTTAGGTACTGTGAGTAAAGTTTTGTCTAAATTAAGATAACAATCTTGCATGTATTTATTTAAAGTAATATTGATAGAAGCCTAAGTTACAAAATTATTAAAAAAATCTGTTATTATATTGAATCAGGAGAAAAATATGCCAATGTAAAGTTTACAATTAGGCTGAAACTCAACTTAAATTAGCAGAAATTTCTCCATATATAAATACATGTTATACATGTGAATTTAAGGTTCTTGTTTTATTTATTTTAAATAGCTGTTATTATAGTTATCTTAGAAGCAGTACAGTTTCTTTTAGTTACATCAGATAAAGAAGAGTATTAAATCCACGGCATTTAAAGAAAAAAAAATCCTGCAAATTAAAAAGAAAAAAAAGGAACTTTTATGGGCTAGATAGTGCAGTTTTATCTGTTATTTTAAATTGAGTAATACTATTAACTGTTTTAATGTTCATTGAAAATGCATACTCGTAGCCATTGTCTCTTCTAAATTATAGCTTTTTTCACACACAGATCATTTTAAATGCTGGTTCTTCAAATTAAAAACGCTAATTTCTATGTTGTCAATTGCTCTCCAAGCTCAGTGTCATCATGGCGAAGTCATCACTCCCCACTGCCTGTTTCAGGGTGAAAAGCTCTATGAGCTAGCCCTTCACTTTTAAGTCCTGCTTATATCTACTCTCAGCCACTAAAGCTTTTTTATCGTTCTACTGGTATGCCTTCTCTCAGACATCACAGCAAAGAACCATACTGATCTTATCTTATATATGTTGACAAACTTCAGAGATATATAGAATTTAAAATAATATTTTACAAATCAAGTGCAATTAGGCATTTTTGCATCTCATAGTACCTACATATAAACTCAATACGACTGCAAAGGGTTAAATTCTAAATTTGAAATTTTTATGAATTTTTCAACTTGCTCTTTGAGGGAATCAGGTTATTAAGTTAGATTAATTCGAGGAAATAACTTTAAATGAAATGCAGAAAAAAATTGATAATCGTTTAATAGGCTGTACAAGATTTCAATATTGGATTTTTTTTTTTTTTTTATTGCAAAACCCTCAATTGTTATTTCTTAATGTTATTCCCGTTTTGATCAAGAATACTCCAGCAAATAGCATCAAAAGTTTTGTATCATTCTTCCCTTACCACATCTCTCCAGAAGAATTGCGGGAAATGCATTTTCAGTGTCCCTATTTTGCAGTCATTCTACAGGGCTTATATTAACATAGATCACTCTATCATATTCATTGTTAGCAAACATAATCATCATCCATTACTACTAAACATAATCACACAATAATAATAGTGCAGAATGAATATTATTTTTTTACTTCACCTGTTTATTTTCTGATTTAAATTACAATCAATCTGATTTTAAAATTGAAACTTTAAAAAATAGTTTTGTCGTAGTAGAAAGAAAAATTGACAATAATTTTTGTGACATTCTACATCTGTGCAAATGACTTTTTTTAACAGGAAGTCAAGTCAATAATATACTATTTTAAGGGAAGATTAAACACTTAAAATTGCTTCGTTATATAATGACTCAAAGATTTTCTATATAACTGCATAAAATAAATTTCTAATATAAATACTTACTGACATATAACCTTGACCTATGACATTGACTACTTATATAGTACAGGAGAAAAATTAGGTATAAAATATCTTATATCATGTTAATACTTTCAAATAAGCTTTAGCAATTTTTATATTTGCATTTTAAGGAAAGGAAAATTTATCCATAATATAGCAAAATTTTCCTTAAATTCCTCAAAAACTATACACATTTACATTATTACATTTAAAAAATTAGCCTAGCTACAATTCATATCATGCATCCTACTTCTAACTATTTAAAAAATGCAGATACATAAACGATTTTCAGGAGGAAACATGACAGTAAATTAAGTATTGTTATATTTTCCAGAAAATAACTCGCATAGACTTTGTTATTCAAACAGTTTCAGTGTTAGAAAAAATAGCATTTTCTTATCTCAGACATAAGACTAAAATATATGTAGCCCATAAAATGTCATTTGCGTTTCTTAAGCTCTTCAAACCTTTTTGCTAAATCGTCAAAATCAACATCATTTTCTCCATTATTTGTATCCCCTAAATCAGGTAACACAGAACTTGGAACTGATGGTAATTCAGGAAGTGTATCCACAGGAAATTTTGTTCTTGGTTGTGGCGTAGGAGCAAATGGTGAGGCATTAAATGGTGGTTTGCCTCCAACTACACTCTCATATGGAGGTGCAGGACCATCTATATTAAATCCAATATGATTTGGATTTGCAACTGGTCCTGGATAAGGGCCACTGGGCTGTACTGAAGGAACAGGTGGAATACCTGCACCTTTTCCACACACCTAAAATAGAAACTGATATATTAGTATTGAAATTTTATCACCTGCACATTAAAATATAAACATAATATACATGTATTCTTGCATTTAATAAAAATAAAAGAGACACTTTCTCTGCCACATAAATTTTATTTTGTGCAAAAGCTATATATTTGTAAGGATCAGGATTCAGAAATTAAACCAAAACAACCAAATCTATGAATTCTATCAAACATATTGCATGCATATTATTTTTTTAATAAATAAATAAACTGTTAAAGAAACCACAGAAGGGTAAATTAAATGTTTCTGACATTCTTAAACTGCCAGAATTCATGTTTTAGACTAGCCCTTTCTGAAAGAATTAATTAAATGTTTCTGACATTCTTAAACTACAAAAAATTCATGTTTATTCCCAGCTCTTTTCTGAGAGAATTAATGTTCACTCTCTATTATAATTTATGTCATATCCTTCCCCCTGGGCAAAAATAGCCCTTATATGCTATATCATAACCAAACAAACCGCACCAAGCGTAACCCGCATGTATTTTCGCTATCTGCAACGATATGTAATTAACAAAAATCTAATGAAATAGTTTAAAACTATTTTAGTTTTATATAATTTTGTGCTTTTCCGTGTGCTACGTGCCGATTTTGATCTTTTGCAACTTTTACAAAAAAAGACCAATTTTTATTACGACAGTTTCTCATAAAATCCTCCAGTAAAAGGAATTAACAGCAAGAATTAGTATCAAATAAAATGCCCAGATTACTAATAGTATTCTTTATCATGTCATGCTAACTTGCCAAACTCAAAAACCAAAAGATTTTTCGATGTACAAAAATAATTTTAAAAGCGTGGAAAATCATACAAAGAATTTTTTTTTACAAATTATAAATACTATATAACTAGTACTTAAAAGTGTAATCACTAAGTTTTAAATGCAGTTAGTGCAAAATTACTCATATATTTTTAAAAACATCTTTATTTCTTGAAATATTTTATAGAAAACTTATAATTGAATCCATTTTCTTACAACTACGAAGAACTCCATCAAATTTGTTTTCATAAAGAAAATAGTCTAAATTTTCCTCACAGCAATTGCTACATACACTTGTGTTTCTATTAATTTTCCAATGTGTATCATTACATGGGATCTAAATTTAATCCTTATTTTAATAACTTTAATCGAATTGTTTCCCAAAATGGGAAAACACATTCATTCAGTTTCTATAGAAAAGGATTAAAAAAAACCAAACAGTTCGATATAGTATTTCATTGATATTATTATTTCCATCCACAGAAAAGAGCTATTTTAATGCAATCATCTGAAATAGCTTTAATTTTCACAAACATATCTTAAGTGAGTGATGTCATTATTATACATGCACATAAATACTTCAAAGTAATTTCATTATTGAGGGAAAAAAATTTCAGTGTGATCAGAATATAACTTAGACTGAATACAAAAATACAAAGGTACTTTTATGTATGCACATTTTATTACATCAGCCATGCAAAATCAAAAAATTGCAATCACAAATAGTACAATTTGACATTTTTCGTATCAAATAATACAATTAAAATAATTTATATATATGTATCCTGCCCCAAAATAAATAAAAACAAAAAAAAAAAAAAACCCAGAAAATCAGTATTTTACTTTTTCTACACACATAACTGTGACAAAAGAACACAAATCCTAAAACAACTTCAGCAAGCATGTGAAACTCGCACTATTTAATAAGACGAGAAATTCAGAACTGCTTTAATCTTACTCTGCATTCATTATCTAATGAAACCAGATAACTCAGCCCACAGGAGAACTGGATTATGATATTTTTAGATATTTACTCCCACACTCACAGCGCTAGCAGTTAGCCAAACTCTTTTCTTCTTTTAATCAGATACAGCATATCATTTCAGATGGTAGATATCATAGGTTTGGGGAAAATAACAAAATATTAGGCTAAACTAATAAAAATCATGAGAAATTTTTGGAATATGAGAAAGCTGGAAATTGGGTTGGTGAAAGTATGCTCGAAACCCAGGAACCTTCCACTTAAATGGTGATTTGGGACATCTGCTAACCAATTAGTGCATATAGCATGTTTTTCTATATCAATAACTGCAGCAAATTCTGTGAAAAAAAAAAAAAATTATATTTTGCAAAATAGAATAACTTTTACTGATACTTTCCACTTAAATGATTATTAAAAAAAAATAAAAATCTGAAGGTTTCAGATTTTAACAGTTGTCTGAAAGGGTTTGTTAAGGTTTTTAACACTCTTGCTGAGCTCATTGTCTACCAGTCTACTGTTGCATTCTTTCCTACTAATGGATTTTGCCTTTTGCTTTTTTAGCTTTATTATTAAGCATCGTTTTCTTCATACTTATGCCATATACAATTCAACAGCAAAATCACAAAATATTTAAAAGCAGCATATCTTTATAATTCCTGATAGGCAGTCTCAAGCACTAGAGATAAAAACGTTTTTTCCGTATAGAGTTGTCACTACTCACTTTGAAATCATTGAATTTGTTAATTAAAAATTTAATAATGATTTACAAAATATGAAACTGATAATAAAATAATTTTGAGACTCAAAATTTAGGCTTCCAGGTGACCATGTTCAGGTGTGTTTCCAGCAATGCACTGATTGCATATGTACACTGTTGGTTCTGCTATAGGTGTTAATAGTAATGCTGGTGCAGCCCTTTAGCTTTAGGCCTGTTGGTGCAAATTGTACCAACTATGATTCTGAAGTGGCTGCTGTCCAACTAGCCTTTATTGAAATTAGTAAAAGCCAATCAAACATTGCGATATTCATCGATTAACAGGCCACTATTAAGGCAATTTCTTCAGTCATACTTTCAAACAATGCAACTGTTTTAAATTGTCACTTTTGATGAATTCTCTAATAAATCATGGTTGCAATGTTACTATGCAGTGCATCCCAAGTCATTGTGGAATCACGGGTAATGAGTTTGTTGACACTATGACCACAGCTGGACCTGTCCTTCCTCAAACCAATCTTCCTGTTTGCTATCACCGTGCTAAAAGAATCATTGCAGCCAGATCTGGAGCTCATCTTCAAAAGAAAGAATCGGGCACATGGTATCGAAGCAGCAGCACAGAACTGATGAAAATATGTAAATATGTAAAGCAATAAAGGGGTGAGCCCAACTTTGTAACTGAAGTCCACTATCAAAGCAACTGCTCATTTATTTTCAGCACACATAAAATCATCAGTAGTAACTTCGTACTTTGCTTTTGCTTCCAAAGGGCTTGCAGTATAGTTTGACAATAGCCACGACCACACTTCTGAACCTTGAGTGGTTATGGAAGGGTAAGGAACATTTTCCCACCTGACCATGGATCCTTATATTTCGTGACTTGACCTTAAACAAGTGAAATGCCAAAACATATTTGTTTGGAATGGGATGCTACTCATATAGTTTTTTTTTTTTTTTCTTTCTTTCTTTTGTTAACATAGTAACAGGGAGGAGAAATGAATTAGATTACAAAATGAATTAAAAATGGGAACAGGGAGGAGAAAATGAATTAGATTACAAAGAAAGTAAGTTCAAATAAAATAGGAAATTGTGTTCTTTCTGAATTTTATAATTTGAATTCATTATTATTTTTGCAGACTGTTATTATTACAGCTGTCTTATGAAAACTACTGTCTTAACAGAAGTTCCAGTTTTCATTTATGTTGGAAAGAGCTTCTCTAATTCTGCAGCTGTAACAAGATCCCCCAAACCAAAGCATATTTGATATTTGTTGGGCTTAAGAAACTACGGTTTCAAAATTAGGCCTTATTTTGAATTTCAAAATAATAACCTTATTTTGAACACTAAAAACAAAAATTTTCCAATTAATGGACTTTTTGAAGAAATCTGAACAATAAATGAAAATAATGTAATAAAAGTTTTCTAGTATGATCACAATGCCCCAGTCAGAAATCAACAAATGGACAGCAAAATCTATCACATGGTTTTAAATTCAGAAAACACTTATACAGATAATGAAGAAAGAGCTATTTGAAAATGAAAAGATTTCAATTTACAGTTGAATGGAAATTTCCGGTTCAGCAATTACAGGACTTGAAAAGTGAAATTTTGTAACTAAACAAGAAAATATGTCTGTTTTTAAAATTAAAGAAAAAGTATTAACACAAAAAAATAAAGCAACTTAAACAACTGTATTGAAAGAAAAAACATTTAAT